GTGGCAGTTCGGGCAGACAATAGTTTATAGATAAAATATATGTTTATTAAAGATAAATAAGATAGGCTATCCTTAGAATTCTATTCCTAAAGAATCCTATAATATTATAAGAGAGAATTTAGGGAAGAAGGGAAAGTGGGTGGACAATAACAAGTCTGTTGTTATTTTAGGTCTAATGTTAACTTGGGGAAATTTACAGCCTTTTTATAGCTTTAGAGCTAATTGCTAATCGTTGCAGCTAAGCGTAGTTTACTTAGTGCTAAGCGCTAAATTGTAATCACTAATTGTTAAGCGTTAAGCGTTAATCGCTATTCACTAATCGTTAAGCGTAATCGCTAATCGCTAAGTATAATCGCTAATCGTTAATTGCTAAGTGTAATCGCTAATCGCTAAGCGTAATCATTAATCGTTAATCACTAAGCGTAATCGCAAATCACTATACATGTCTTTTAAATTCTTCTCTAAGATAAATATAATAATAACTAATAACTAATAAAATACAAATCCTAATAATAAAATAATACTAAGATAAAATAATAAACTAATAAAATAAAACTGTTCTATAACAATATAAAAAAAAATAATAAAAAAATATAAATAAAAAATAAAAAGAGTAATAAAAAAAAATAAAAAGAAATAAATTAGTTCCAATAGGATTCAAAATTTGATAATTACAGTTATAAGTCTGTGTTGGGTTTTAAAAATTTACAAACTATACTAAATAGAATTATCTTTATTAATACTATTTACTATTTATCTAAATCAAAAAACTTATCAGTAAAAAAACAAAAGTTGATCTTTAATATAGGTAAGCAAATATAATTATTATACAATTATAATATATATAAATTAACTATTTTAAACTAATTTAAGCAATTTTATAAATTGTTAGAGTTAGAGTTAAGGTTAGTATATAAATTAGCTTAAATTAGTTAGGTTTTATATATTATAATCTTGTAATAATTAATATATGTCTACCTATACTCAAGAAGATCCAAAACAAAGATTCTGATGTGTAGAGTATTAGTTAAAGCATTAGTTAATTTAAAGATAATATTTAATAAAACTACAGCTAAGATATACATATCATATGTATTGTTGTTAGGTTGCTATACTGTTACCAGTTCTGTTTAGATAAATAAATACTGCCAATTATTTTAGTAAGTCACATGTCAGTTATTTGATAAGTCATATATTGATTTTGTTAATTACTTGTAAGAGATAAGCTAAATTGCTTGCTTTTTTTTATAAATTTTACTCTAAAATTCTTATTAAGAAAACAGTAAAAGGTCAACAAAATATATGAAATTTTTCATATAAGTTTTACAATCATATAGTAGTTTTCTAAGTCTTTACTTCTAGTGAAGTTTCTTGCTTTCTGTTTTCTAGAATAACCTTTTAGTATAAATGTTAAATATGTATTAGGTGTTTGTCAATAACAAAGAAACTTAACCCAAATCATAAACTAACCAAAGTATATTACATTTTGCTTCTTAGTGTTAACATATACTTGGTTTCATTAACAAACATATCTATATTTGTAGACTCAGAAGTAGAGTTTTTTGTATCTTTCTATTATGTTTTGCTATAGTTTAGTTTTTTGGTTGTTGTTTAAAGAATTGTTGAAAAGAGTTGTCTAAATTTTATATAAATAATGTATATACTATTTAAAATCATCAAAACTTTTAAATATTAATATTATTACTATATTTTACTATTATTTATATTACTCTATATACAATATGTAAAATGTATATTGTATTTTATTATAAAATTTTAATACCTTTTAGGCATTAACACAAAGTACCTAGTATTTTATTAACTTAGATATTATATGTTTAATATAAAAATTTTATTTATTTTTTTAAACATTATATAGCACAAAAATGCTAATTATTATTTAAGCATAAATATAAAATGGTTTGTTTTAATATACTTATACTGATACTTTAATGCTCATGCCTATAAATGTATCTAGTATTTTAGAATACATATCATTTTAGTAACACTTATTTCATAGAAATAATATTTTACTGAAAACAATTTACTGACATGTTTATTTTACTGATAATTAGTTTACTAACAAGTTCATTTTATTGACAGCTTATTTTACAAAAAACTCATTTCATATACAAACTTTTTTTTATAAATTTCACTAACCTTAACTCTAATTTTACCTAACCTTAATGACAATGACCAGAATAATTTTGTTAGTGAAATGAATTTTAGTAAAAAAAACTGTTGGTAAAATAAACTTGTTAGTAAAATAAGTATCTGTGAAATAAACGTGTCAGTGAGTTATTGTCAATGAAATATTATGTCTATGAAATGAGTGTCAATGAAGTGAGCTGAACCAGTATTTTATGCCTATAGGCATAGGCATAGAATAAGGTACTAATGACTAACATAGTGCCAATAGGTTCGGCATGGGCATTTGCAGAATGTTACTAGGACTCAAAACTATCTATAAATAGGTAAGGTTTTAGTTTGCTTATTTTTGCAGATCTTTTCCTTTTAGAGGGGATGCTTAAAGCCAGGTCCATCACGAAATACTAATAACTTTAAGATTAGGGTTAGTTTAGGGCCTGTATAGGTTAAGATTAGAAAGGGTTATATGTAAAATCGTCCCCGACATTTTTACTTAATACGCTGAGGCGGGTTTAGACACTCTTTTTTGTATTTTTCTCGTTTTTTACTTTTTTTGCTTCGTAGGGCTGATCCGTGTAACAAAAATTCGCGATTTTGATTGGTCGCAGGCATCGGAAAATCTCGTGATGGACCTGGCTTTAAGCGACCCCCTTTTATAGTAATTAGTCCGCTTATTTTTGACCATTTTCCGCAGATCCTTCCATATTTAGTAATTGAAGCGAGAAGAAAACGAAAGAGTTCAATGACTCAAGAACAGCAACTAACGTATAGAATAAATGGATCAGAAAAGAGACAAGCTCGTCGTAAACGTCAGTCAACGGCTAATAATAGTCATATTAGAGATAAAGAGAATACCAATCAAGACGAACAGATAAATAAAGTAGATAACATAATTAGAAATATGACATTGTTTTATAACGATAACATACAATAAATAATTTTCGAATGATTGATTAAAATTATAACGATAACATGCAATAAATTAATTGGTTGGAGCTGAGAGGAGCGAAGTAAAGCCTTTCAAGCCATACTCTACCGAATCTTAGAAATTTCCGGTTCCCGCTTCAACTGACCCAAATTTTATGTTCAATAGCCAGAATTGTTTGGTTACCGAAATCTTGGTTTAAGCGGAGTAGCTGATAAATTTTCTAATCGATTTATTAGAGACATCAGTGTCGGTATTTTTGTAAACAATTAAATCTTACCAACATATTTATTTATAAGTTGTATTGTTTGTTTTGATCCAATTAAATAAATATCAACTTTTGTATAGCACGATCTTTGTCCGAATGGACCATTATATAGAGACTTATTTCTTTGTTTCATGCAATATCATGACGCATATGCGTATTAGTATGTTAATTACATTCACGAAAAATACACATTTTTGAGTAAGAACTCTAACTATAGTACATAAATCTGACCTTTACTATGCTACCAAGTGTATCATACAGTAAAACCTCCATAAATGCACGCCCTTGGGACTGAACTTTAATGACATGCACTTAAAGAACAATAAGAAAAAGTGCGTTATGGAGGTCATGTATAGATTTGAACTGAATTTAAGCGTGCATTTAGAGAGGGTGTGCACTTATAGAGGGTACACTTATGGAGGTTTCACTGTATTTATTGAAGAATTGTTCTATTTTCTTTGTAATAATTTTCTAACATGAAGCTTGAAATATTACTGTCTTCTTCGTCTATATACTTTCCGTGCCCTATCAGCTCTAAGTCTACCTTATCTTTATATATTTTTAGTTTGCTGAAATCAGCTCCTTTAGTGGGTTTGAGTTTTATTCTCCATGTAGTATAAGGACTAAGCATTAATTCTCCTTTTTTGAATTTTTTATATACATTGTTGCTGCGAAGTGGCTGTTTATTATTTACTTTTTCAAAGCTATACGTAATAACTTGCTTATCACTTATTATCATATAAAATTCATTATCATATCTATAATATGAATTGCCTGAATGAATCATATTAACATCAAAACGATTAAGCTCTCTATCAATTTATTTTGCATTGTTTGATTTATTGATTTGAATCTTATGCCTATTTCGTTAAACTTAACTGCACTTTTATCAGGATCACTTTTTGTTATATCTGCTTTTATAGTTATTTCTTCTCCAGCTAACAACTTTGATATTTCTTGGTTATGTTTTTTATTTTTCCATAAATAAAATGGCCGTGAAGATTCATATTCACTGTTAAATATTCCAATTATTAAAAATTTGTCATTCTCATTAATAAATGCATAATGTCCTTGCATTTTTGATTTCAGATTTTCTATTAGTTGTATAATACCATCAATATCTTTATCATCAAACTGTAAGGTTAATACATCTGAATATATATGTGCAAATGGAAATACCCATTGTTTGAATGCATTTATAACTCTTTTAAAATGCTCTAATATAATGTTTGTTCTTATCATTTGTTCTATTTCTTCAATAGCTTGTTTTAGTTTTTCATCCTTTATTTCAATTGCTATTGGTAAGCTTATATGTGCAATGTAATTAGCAAGCTTCGTTTGATTATAATAGTTCTGTATACGATCATATACGTTTATCAGAGTATTTATTCCATCATTTAATTCTTCTATATAACAATTTATTTCTTTTTGTATCTTAAATCCTTTAGAGATTTGCTTAATTTCAAGTTTAATATCTTTTAATGAATTCTGAACTTGCCATTTAGTTAGGTCAAGAAAAACATGTGACTTTGTATCTATTTTATTTTCAATATTATTAATATTGTCTTGTATTCTTTTGATCATAGAGGTAATAGTATTGTTAATATTTTCTTCATATTGTTTTAATTTTTTAATTTCATCTTCTGTTTGCTTGATTGTGTCACTTATTGCATCAAGTTTTTCTTTATCTTGTTGATAATTATAATATAACTCAATCATCATTTCGGCAGTTTTAATTCCGTTGTTAAGATTTTGTACCATATCTAATACTTCTTTTGTTTTTTTACTAGTGATAAAGTTTTCATTTTTTTTTAATTCATCTTCCGATTTTTTTTGCTTTTGCTCTAATTCGCTTTTTAATTCTTTTACTCTTTTTACAGAATTTATATTACCTAATACTTTTATAATTTCTTTTATATTTTCTTTTATATCAGATAACTTATCTGGGCATTTACTACATTCTTCAAACAATTTTTGTAATTGTTGTTCCGCCATATTTATCACTTCACCTTTTTTACTTACTTCATCTCTAAGCATTTTTTCCATTCGATCTAAAGAATTTTTTATATCTAAAGAAATTTCAAATCTTGACTGGTTATTATTATTTTCTGTAATAAATATTTCTGCTGTATTAGCCCCCCTCCTTTTATCATCTCACCAGCTACTCCAATTGGACCACCCGCAAAACTTATTGCTTGGCCTACAATTTTTAAAATCCCGAATACTTGACTTAATATTAATTTATTCTTCCATTCTTTTTGTTTTTTTTCTAAATTTTGTTTATTTTTTTCAATATTTTCTATTAATTTGCTTGTTTCATCGACCAATAGTTCTATTTTTTCATTTATCTTATTAACAATATTATTCATTTCAGGTTTAATTTGATTACTAACAATATTATAAGCCTCTACAATTTTCTTATTAGTTGTTTCTTCATATTGATAGTTAAATTTATTTATTGCATCTTGCTTGTTTGTGTTTTGTAGTAATTTGATATCATTGTCTATGATATTAAAATATTTATTTATATCAATTATCAAACTAGATTCTGATTCAAATTTGAGATAACAAATCTTGTTAAGTGTACATTTATAAAAATAATTAAGTACTTTTTTATTTTGTCCAAAATTTTCATTTTCCTCAAGATTTTCTGTATATCTTTCAATACATTTTAAAAAAAACTGGTAAAAAGGAAGAAAATCAATATTATTTTCTAGTTTATAAAATTGATTTTCTAAATTTCGTAACTTATTAGCTAGCCCCAGTGTGGTGCCATAAGTAAGCTTAAATCTAGAATAATTGTCCAATTCAAAACTATCTATCTGATTTAAAAAATCAATATTTTTAAAATATTCTATTTCTTCATTGCTTAGAAGTTTAAAAACTTCAACTTGACAAGAAATCGCAGCTATATGTAATGGTTTCCAACCATTTTTATTTTTAGAATTAATATCAGCACCTTGATTTATCAAAAATTTAACAATTTCTGTATGTTCATTCCACGCAGCTTCATATAATACCGTCTCATTATTATTATCAACAGCTTTAACTAAATTAATATTTCTTTCTAATAAATAATTTACAATTTCTTTATGTCCTTCAAATGCAGACCAATGTAATAGTGTTTTGCTATTTTCATCGACACTGTTAGAATTTTCACCATTTTCTAATAAAAAGTTAATAATTTTAATATCTCCTTTTTTTGCAATATAGTGTAATATTTGATTACTATGGGCTTCCTCCTCTAATAACAACTTAACAGCATTTACATAAATTTTCTCTATAGCGAAATAAATATAATTTAAATCTTGTTTGCCACCAGCCTCTGCATTTAATAAATGCTTAACTGTTTCTATATGCCTATTTTTAGTAGCCAAATACAATGCTGTTTTGCCATCTTTATCAATACTATTAATATCAATATCAACATTTAACAAAGCTTTGATAACTTCTATATTCCCTGCAGCAGCAGCAAAATGTAATAATGTCCATCCACAGCTTTAATATTAGCTCTATCTAATAAGAGATGAACAATTCTTGGATGACTAGAATATGCAGCCTTGTGTAAAGCTGTTTCGCCATTAATATCTGCAATATTAACATTAACACTAACATATTTTAGTAATGTTTTAATGGCCATAATATGACCCTTCTCCGTGGCTTTATGTAATGCAGTAATACCATCCTTATTAGCATAATTAATATTGGCTTCACGATTCATTAAAATATTAATAATTTTTTCATAGCCTTCTTCTGCTGCATAGAACAATGGTGTGCAGTAATTATTATCAGTAGCATTAATTTGAGCAGTTTCTACTAAAATTTTAACAATTTCTTCATATCCCATTTTAGCAGCAATATGTAATACCGTAAGATTATTCTTATCAGTAATATTAACATCAGTTTTGTTTATCAAAGCTTTAACAACATTTAAGTGACCATTTTCTGTAGCCAAATATAATGCTGTTTTACCATTTATATCGACAGCATTAACTTCAGCCTTGTTTATCAAAATTTTAACATAGATATATAACCTTTTGCTGCAGCCAAAAGCAATGCTGTTTTGCTATTTTTGTCAGCAAAATTAGCTTCAGTTTTGTATTTTATTAAAATTTCAATAACAGTTGTATGACCATTTTCTGCAGCCGCATGTAATGCTGTTTTACCATTTGCATCTATACAATTAATTTCAGCTTTATATTTTATCAAAATTTCAACAACGGTTGTATGGCCATATTCTGCAGCCCAATGTAATGCTGTTTTACCATTTGTATCTGCAATATTAACTTTGTCTTTATGTTTCTTTAACAAGGATTTAATAGCTTCTTTGTGTCCATTTTGTGCAGAAAAGCATAATCCATATGTTAGTAAATTCTTAACCATATAATTACTAATATTTAGATCAAATATTGTACGGCCATTCTTGTCTGTAGCATTGAAATTAGCACCATATTTGATTAATATTTTACAAACCTCAATGTGACGCTTTATTGTGGCCAAGTATAATATTGAATTGCCAAAACTATCAACAGCGTTAACATTAGCTCTATGTTCTATCAAAGTCTTAACAACTTCTATTTGACCATAATATGCAGCCATGTGTAATGTTGTGTCACCTTGGTTAGTGATAATAACATTAACATTAATTTCACGTTTTATCAAGGTTTTAACAATTTCTGTACGACCATTAATTGCAGCCCAGAATAAAATTGAATAATCATAAATATTAGCGCCATGTTCTATTAAAGTTTTAACAACCTCTATATATTGGTTCCATGTAGCCAATTTTAATATTGTATTACAAAAAGGATCTACACTAGCATTGACATTAGCGCCATGCTTTATTAAAGTCTTAACAATCTCTATGTGACCTTTTTTTGCAGCTAAAAATAATGCAGTATGCCAATTAATATTATAAACATTGATATTAGATCCACGCACTATCAAAAAGCTAACAACCTTTATATGTCCATTTTTGGGGGTCGTCTAAAGCCGTGTCCATCACGTGACCTGAAGCCAATAGAATTGTTTATTTTGATCGACACGGATCA